TCTCTACCATACCTGGCTGACTAGCTGGGCATTTGCGTTCAGTAGATGACACCGGAGCTGGCTCCGCATGTCATGGCATGGGTGACATTACCACAGATGGCTATGGAGGTTCGACGTGTTTGTCCATTTAACACTTATTTTTCTAAACAAGCCCTACAAATAGCTTCATCCTAATTATTGATTCGCCTTACTCGTTCGCCACGAATCCAAAATGTTTCCAGATTGGCGATGTAATATAAGTTTTCCAGCAAGGTTCATGGCTGAACTTGAACTTGCTGTATCACGTCTAAGTTAACGTTATGTTCATAAATGTATAGGCTATTTGGCAACAAAACAGAAAATGTGTGTTCTAGAGTGATTGTCGTCACGGTGACCGTCACAGCCCTTACATATGAGATTGCATACATTTGCATACATGTTTTAAGCTATAAAATGAAAGCCTCAGTTTGGTGCGGAGTTATTATTATACAAAAATCAAGAAAATCTTTGGATTTGTTTGATTCGTAGATTGTAGGCTATTTTAAAATCCGATATTATATAAGAACTATTAATAACTGTAATTTTCAAAAAATAAAAAAATGAATAAAAAAGGGGTTTGTTGGTTGTAGCCCACCCTAAATCATCAACAGCCTGCTTTTTTTAAGTTTATGAAGCGGCTCCATACAGCACAGAGGTGATCTGCATCAGCGCTGGTTAGTCAACACTGTGTGAAACTGTGACGAGAAATATCCTTCTTTCATTTTGCTTCTTTGGCAAAATGTGTCTGTAGAAACGTGTGTTTGCATGTGTTACCATCCCAAGAGTTAACAAATATTTGTTGTACATTTAGGGGCCGATCACAAAGCGCACGCCTTTACGTTGCAAAAACGCGCGACGTACCGCGCTGCCTTTTATGGTTGACAAGAAAAAAATAAGCCTCTTTTGTATGTCACTAGAAAACGACTGAATTAGCTGGTGTGCGCGAGTCGAGTTGCTGTCGATGTTATAATTGTAATTTTAATAATATTGTGATATTTAAGATCTATAAATACAGCTCTGGATAACTTGAAACAGCGACCACAAGTCTCTCCTCAGTCTTTTAAAGTTTATCGTACTCACATTGACAACCCAAACCCCGCTGTCACCTCAACAGAAAGCCTGCAGTGCTTTTATTTGACTGAACAATGAAACAGAGGTAACACGCTTTTTCCACTCGAGCACACAGCGCGCAACGGCAAAACTTAAAGCGCGCTGAGCAAGCATAAGCAGAGCGTAAAACACTGGCGGCAGTCAGTAAACCATTAAACAGATGCCCCGTATGCAGCCAAACTTTAAAAATGTATAAAGCATATTTTAATCGTTTAACTGATACCATTCATCGGTTACAAACGCACCCTTTCAGTTATTGCTTAATCAGTTATTTTGAGCATCCCCAACTAAACCGCATGTGCAAGCTCTATTTTTTTTTTCTCTCACGGCCGCACGCCGGAGATCCGGCATGGTGCCGGAATACTTTAAGCCCTGGTAAGATCATGTTTATCACTATAAGAAAACTAAATCAAAATTATATTTTAATTGAACACATCTGATCACATAAGGTACGCAAAGAAAAGTCTGTTTAGTGTTGTGAAAAGGCAAAGCTGAATATCTGTGGTTAAACTGCCACCCAGCGGTCAAAAGCTGCTGGCGCATCAAGTACCGCCGTCGCCGCGGTATGAATGGCGGCATAAGGAACACATTGAAGTAGTAACATCTGTATAACAGTTTAGAGAGAAAAGACAGCAGACTAGCATCCTTGGTTTTGTCATGCCAAATACATCCATGAACTCAAAATAATTCTGTTAGTTTGACTTCCAGTACAAGGGCATCCTGACACAAAAAACCCTGATTAATTAAACAGACCAACTTATATATTTGGTCATAAAGAAGTGTGCACACACACTCACTTAATTACATGCACCAACAAAACTGTGATAGAATCCATATGCTACATTGCGTTCTCAAACACACAGCCTGGTCTTTTGCAGTGAACCTTGACCCAGTGCTACCTCTCACAAATTTGTGCATGAAATATTTGATACACCTGGTGAACATTACTTGTCAGCAAATAAGGACATTTTTCACAACAACAAACCACTTATTTTACAACTTATTTTAGAGTTAAGAAAGTCGATAAAAAAAGGTTAAAGCAGCATTTCAAAAATTTAAACAAAATAATGGAGAAAAAAGAACCCGAAAGCCTCAAGCTATCTGTCATACAAATCTAAATTACTTTTTGTTCACACTTTTATGAAACACTTAATTCATTGTTCTGGACTCTAAATCCTCCATCCAGAATTTCTGGCGAACAAAGACCTAATCAGACATCAGACAAAAAACTAATACGATTTCAAGGTTTTTTCACTTTAAAAAGCTGACGTCTCTTTGGGGCTTCACCTTCGCTTCGTTCCCTTGAAAATAAGTGTTAACGATTCATTGGTGAATAATATTACGAAAGAATAAAATGTTCCGAAAGAACACCAGCGCTGCGAATGAAGTGCCACAGATGAATTAATCCTCAGCTGGTCCTGTCAGCTTCAGGGGTCTACAGAGGGCCGGCTTGAGTGAGAGTCCCACTGCAGGCAGGATTTATGGGCTGCAGTCGAGTGCTGTTGTGGGTAAAGTGCTGTTTATGTGGAGCCTCAAAATAGTGTGTTGATTTGTGCAATGGTCTCAACAGTAGAAAGAAAATACCAAGTGCACATGCTGAACGAACCAAACTAAACAAGCCTACATAGGGTTAGCACAGGTTTTAAAAAAATAACAAATAAAATAAAATATAAAATTTATATACAGTTGAAGTCAGAATTACGAGCCCCATGAATTATTAGCCCCGTTTGTTTTTTCCCAAATTTCTGTTCAACTGAGAGATTTTTTTAAACACATTTCTAAACATTTTCAAACATTTAAATATCTCATCTCTAATAACTGATTTATTTTATCTTTGCCAAGCAGATAGTAAATAATATTTTACTAGATTTTTTTAAAGACACTAGTATTCAGCTTAAAGGGCATTTTAAAGGCTTAACTAGGTTAATTAGGCTAAATAGGCAGGTTAAGGTAATTAGGCAAGTTATTGTATAACGATGGTTTGTTCTGTAGACTTTCTAAAAAAATATATAGCTTAAAGGGGCTAATAATTTTGACCTTAAAATGGTTTTAAAAAAATAATAAAAACTGCTTTTATTCAAGCTGAAATAAAACAAATAATACTTTCTCCAGAAGAAACATTATTATCAGACATACTGTGAATATGTCCATGCTCTGTTAAACATTATTTAGGAAAGAAAGAAAAAACTCAAAGGGGGGCAAATAATTCTGACTTCAATATATTTACATTATGTAGTTTGATGTTTGAAGAAAATACAAAGTGTCACTAAATAAATTCCTTTATCTTGGGTTACTTTATGCTAAACTGTACCGATGGTTGATGGTACATAATATGTGTGTGTGCTGGCGCTCACCGGAGCACTTCTTCACATGCACACATGTCAAGCAACTGAATTTCTAGCAGCTAAATGTCTGAATGGTCTGGTGACTGGCTGGAGTACATGTCTCACATCAGCGAGTTTTAACCGTAAACACGCTCTTTCCGTCAATTTTCCTTCTATGTTCAAACTGGAAAGCATTCTGGCAAATTATCGGTAATGTTACAACTTCTCTTTCCAGAAAATTGCTGGAATGAATTTACCGGTTTTTTTCAAAAAGGGCCTGCTCACACATACTCACCTTTCCCGAAAGGTCAGTATGTGTGAAAGGGGCTAATGAGATGGCAGCAGGGAGTCACTTGGTGATTGCCAAAAAACAATTACTTTTATCATATTTTATCCATAATATACAGAAGATAAAATAGTATTTAATAGTTACATAAAAACATCACGCAAATAAAAAAAATCATCAGTCTTTAATTTTTTTTTCCATTGGATTGTGACGCCTTGGGTTATTATTAGTTACACAGCAATATGATTAGTTGCAGCAGATTGATTTTACAGCACAATCTTAAACTTTGACACCTTTGCAGCACTCTTAAATTAAAAATAAAGGCCACGGCTTAACATAAAGAACGATCTCCAAGTGGAGGTCTCCAAAATTAAAATTAAATAAAGAATAGTCTTGTACTGTAAACATTTTAAGGACCCCCTCGAAAATGAGATGATTCATCTCAAGAGGCTGTCCCATTCAATAAATTCAAATTGTGCCCACCAGCTTTATTAAGTGAGGTTAATGTTATTGGGGGTCTTGGCCTGAAAAGTTTGTAAACTCCTGCACTACTGTATAGAGCCATCAATTTTATATAAAATTATGAATAATACTTTTTTCTCTATGACTTGTCAAAATTGGATTTTTTTAATAAACAGAGGCATCACACCAAAAGGCAACGAAACCTAATTTTATAGTGGTTCCAAAGAGTTAATAAATATTTATATTATTATTATTTACTGTTTATGTATAAATAAATAAACAGATGCATGCCACAAGCTTCACATGAGGCTTCAGTCATCATCTTTTTACTTTAACTAATTTAAAAGACACATTTTCAGTGGCAAAAATGTACCAAGTACCTATGTTTTTAAAAATGTATGGATGAAAAAATAATTGCCATTTAGTTAAATAGCCGCTAGTAGAATCATGGCTAAAAAATGATTTACTTTTATTTTTCCCTTATTTACCTAAACTTAAACTATGCCTGAGACAGTCACACCATATGACAATTTTGAAATTTGGCACAAAAATGTAAAAAAATGTAATAGCAATCAATGCAAGACAAAGAAGTGTTTAAGCGTTTACCTCATTTAAATTATGTCATTACTAATTATGTCTTTTCTCGTGTGAGAGTGAAAATGCAACATCACATCAACAATCCATACAAGTGGCAGAGGAAACTTTTGTGAAATTCAATTTTAATATTTTGCCTGTTCAAGATTTTATGGCCATCAGGTTGAGGTAAAATAGCACTTTTCAGCTAATTTTTTGTCACTTACCAACTAACACGACAAGCCTATGTCTGTCGCCGTGTTTCCTGCGGTAGGTTGTCACCTCTTCATAAGTGGGCACATCAGCTGTGTCATACTGCTCACTTTTCTTACATTCATACATGGATTTATTGGTCTTCTTATCTCTTCTGCTGAGACGAAAACTCCTCCGCAGGCCCGCTGGAAAGGAAAGGAGAAACAAATAAGACAAAAGAACAACAGCATTCTTGTGTGCATTTGGGAATAAGGTTATGATGAAGCCACAGAAGACTTATTGGATCTAAACACTTTTACACTTACTCATTCTTTCCTGTCACATTCACAAATCTTTCACTCAGCCTCCTGCACCTGTACTAGCTTGAGCTTATGGAGTAATATAAAATAATACATTTCCCTCACTCCTTTCCCCTTCATTAAATATTTTGCTATATCGATTACACTTTCATCCACCATCAAGTGTTTAGCACTCTTAGTTCCATTTACCACATTTCACCATATCTAAACCCATTCCGCAGCTTTTCATCCAACAAAAAAATCCGCATGGAGAAGGAAAAAAATTCCGTCTGGGACCGATCATAACAGATTTTCCTGTGCGCCACCATCATATGAACCGACTTGTGGTTCTTTCATCCGCGTCCAGGTAACAAAACGACTAGACCGAAATATCTGAGGTTACGTATTTCATGGGGACATGGCAGGAGGTGGGCTATTTCAGGACACGGTCATTGCCACGGGTGCTTTTTCATGCCCTAAAAGGCTGTTAGGAACGTCACCACAAAACTTCCTGTCTGATTACTCTGGACAGCACCAGTCTGTCTTTAATGACCCCAGACTGTATCAAAACTCAAAATGTACCCCTCATTTAAGAAGCAAGGTTTTATATTCATGACAGATGCTAGTTAGTCTAGCACAGCCCAAACCAGAGACACCTAATACCCCATCTCTGCGTAAGGCATTTTCCCCTCCTGTCTATACTGCATGTTTTTTTTTTTTACTGTGATTAATGAACACAGGGATATGATGCAAGATGCCCAAGTAAGATTACAGCAGCAAGAAAATTATGGACTGAGAAGAAGCGGAATAAAAAAAAAACCCTGATCCAGTCCTCCTTTAATACTTTCCAAAGCACAGAGACCGCGAAGCACAGATGTGCGGCCATGGAGAGATCCTGCATTCTTTACAGCTTGTTCTTTTCCACAGAGTCACCTAATAAGGGCTGGTGGGGACCTACGCTGGAATACAAATGAAACACACCGTAAGTCAAGTGCTCGTTGTACCACAACACAAAGTGTTTGTGTGGTTCCACAGTTGGGATTTAGTTACAAACGTTTAGAACGGAGCCTTCTTCCACTCAGGCTAACCTGTGGTCTCTGTGCTCGTGGCACTTGACGCTTAGCCGCTGAAGCTCAGCCCTTACTAGAGAGAAAAACACATGCAAAACTATGTACAACATGGTAAGAATATGGGTGATTGCCTGACAAATATCAGCAACATTTGATGAGGGGAAAAAAAGCTGGCAACCTGAAAGAAATCAGTCCTTCTAAGAGGATGTGACCTTTAATAAAGCAAAAAAACAAATGGCTTGTCCTATTCAATTTTCAAATCTTTCAGTTTCAATAGTCGATTAGCTCTGGCATTGGGAATCTCTGTTTTCCAGAGCACAGAACAGGTGCAAAGCTTTTATTACAACTTCTCAAGTCAATGCAAATTGGGGTTCTCTGCCTGAAGAGACTTCGTAATCGGGACCCTTCAAAATCACTTAAAGCCATAGAGACAGCTCAATTCAAATAAGCGAAATATTACCTTCTATCTCAATGAGGATAAATAAATCAAGGCTCAGATCGCAAGCAACTCTACTCCTCTTTTGAACTCAAGTCCCAGGAACTGATTAAGGCAAAATTAAGGGGAGAAAAGCATGGAAATTACTCCATTCCAGTCTGAGCAGAAATGTTTCTACATTTTGGCCTGCTTCTCGTCAGGAAACCTTAATTCACTCTTTTTCTAAAGGACGTGGCTTTTGCGAGACAAATCTACATGTGGGGTGACGGAAGGCAGCTTGAGTGTGTTAGAAATGCTCAGCCAAGAGCCTTCTGGTTTGGGGACAGAGATAAATCTAAAAAGAGAAAGCCAGCTAGCAAATGACAGTTAAAAAATTCCTTCCAGTTGTTCTAAGAATATGACAGCACAGACTAGAAGACCGACACATGCCCAGTGCAGAGACCCAAACATGCACCTCCTAATGGCGTGCACTGTGGCGTGACGAGTTAATTGGGCCTCAGAGCTACGCAACCTACCATCACCAACTAGCAGTCCACAAATCAAACCTGTTCTTCCATTGAGACTTGGAAGGAAAAACAATGAAAAAGGCCCAAATTCAGTGTAAACATAGAAAGACACGCGCTACCGCCGCACACACAATCGCATGAGAGCTGCCGTGGCTCCCGGATGCCCATTTTCCACAGCAATAATAGCGTACAGCCATGGAAGAAATTTAGTATATACTTGTGAGGTAAAAGCTCGGAGGGATTTAAAAACATTGAGGACGATGAGGGGTAATAACCTTCAAACGCATTAACTCCCTGCGTGGATATGGAATGATGCACAGTCACATTTATCAAAAAGATAAGAAAAGCAGAAAAAGGTCAAAGAGGGGAATCAGAATACTCTGTAGAGTGATCAGTCAAACAGAAAATGATTTCATAGAAAGAGCGCCTCTATTTTCCTATCATCTTTCGGTTTACAACCTGTGACTAATTCTTTTATCCATTATTTTAGAACACATAATCCTTGTCCTGTGCTTGTAAGTCATACTTAGTCATGTGGTAAATTTTCAAGTATGGCACTTTCACACAGAATGTGAGCATAAAGGTGGATATAGTATAGTAAAAGTCAGCAGTTTTTGAGTGCAAATAGCATCAAGGTTTCCTGAGAGGAGGAAACGATCTGAAAGTATCTCTTGTGAATGGCTCGGCCTACACCTTCCACCTCAAACAAGGTTAGCGGAGAGTTCCTTGTCGAACATGATGTGAACGATCCACTCACATAGACAGACATATGGCCTTCACTCACTCCCACCCTCTTTTACAGTGATCTGCGGAAGGGTTTAGCGCTGGAGTACAGGCCCCTGGGGTGGTGTCTGCGAGACCCCCAGCATCAAACATTAAGAAGTTTCCGGCGCAAATCTCACGTACCAGAATCGTCTGATCTCATCTCATGTGCGCACCATCTATATTCCATCGCTTGAATTGAGGAAAAAGGTTTTTCTGTATACTCTGACAAACGGTTTACCAAAGCCACTTGACTCTGTGCATTCCCACAGATGATGAGAATGAACTGGCTGCCTGAATCCAGAGGAGAAGATGGATAACCATCACAGGCAACGATTAAAGAAAAACAAGTATTTAGTAGTGCTATTTGAAATATGTATTGGGCATTGCTCTGAATCATGTTGAACTCGTTAAGAATGGCCGTCTAGGGGAAACAGACTGTAGGAGTGGATTCCATTGTGCTGCATAAGTGGAAAGTCGTGTTCTGCCCAAGTGTTACAGGCTTGCGCTCAATACAGGCTCTTCGTTCCCACTTGACGAAAGAAAATAGACATGTATTAAGGGAGTGATATTTGTTTTTCCCTCAGTCCTGTCCTAAATTCCATATTTAGAATGAAATGTGTTAGAGACAGAATTAATCAAATATGAAATATATACTGGACAGAATAATGAACTGAGTATGAATTATTTAAATGTATACGATCAAGTTGACTGATGAATGTATTTAGTAAAAAATGAATACTTGATAATAAATTTTAAGTATAATACAACATACTAATTAATTACATACACTATCTGATAAAAGTCTTGTTGTTGATCACAGTTGTAAGAGCAACAAATAAATAACTTGACTTCTAGTTGATCATTTGGAAAAGTGGCAGAAGGTAGATTTTTTCTAATGAATTATATGCTAAACTGCATCCCATTCATCTCAAATACTGCAAAAAAAGACCTATTGGAACCCGCATGAACTCAAGATTCTGACAGAAATGTTTGAAGGAAAAATCATGGTTTGGGGTTACTTTCAGTATGGGGCATGCAAGAGATCTGCAGTGGATGGCAACATCAACAGCCTGAGGTATCAAGACATTTGTGCTACCCATTACATTACAAAGAGGGCCCATTATTTGAATAAGGTATTATAAGACCATTTTGAGGGGTGAAAGTCAAAATGTCAAGAGAGAGATTAAATCTTAGATAGTTCATTTTGTTTAATGAAACCAGTTTCCATTAAAAAAAAAAATAGCCAAAATGTACAAAAGTTTTTTCAAATATTTCAAAATAAGTTTAAAAATTATATTAATAAACAATTAATGTTATGTTTATTTATGTAGAACCATGGTCATGCAAGACACAGCATGTCACTCCATGTTAAGACAATAAAGTTTGAACTTGACAGTGTGAACGACTCACAAACTGTATGGGTTTGTTTTCCTTAAAGCATTGTTAGCAAAACTCTTCCTGTCATATTACATTGAAATTTAACAATATTACTTCTGACTGAAAGTTGCCAATTTATTAAACAAATCCAATGCACAAAATCCCATTAATTTGTTGAATAGCTTTAGTGTTTTACAGTATCCTATAGTATTAAGATTAATGAAATGGAGTAAACTGACAAAATAAATTGCTAATTACTATGTAAAGCATGTATTTTGTAATCGGTTGTGAAATACATTTTCAAAGTAACCATCGCAGCCATGTTGATAACTATATAGTAATTAGCACATTACTATTGTTTCATACATTCTTAAGTGTTTGCTTACATGTCAAATTTGTTTCTTTAAAAAGAAAGACAGTAATCTAAATCTGGTAAACTTTGCCCTTATAAGGTCAGTAACAATGTAAGAACTGAAAAAAATGATGGGAACCCTGCTTGACGCATCAGGAACACACACATATACACAGTCTAAGTCACAGACAAACAGAGTGGGCTGCCAGGTCAAGCCGGTCATCACTAGCAGGCTTAGCAAGTAACTGAACTATAAATCCAAGAGGCTCTTTTGGGGGACACAGTCCTGTTAGTTTCATCAATCAGCTGCTCCTTCAATCAAAAATACCAAACACCCACACACAAGCTTCATCAACAGACGCACAAAACCTATTCACTGAACCATTGTGAAGTCTGGCCAC